ATTTAATTTAGTCCATGGCTACAGTTAAAATGTATGGAAAGAAATACGGCAACTGATTCTGCACACTACATTTACAACCTGTAAATGAAATCAGAAATCCCAGGAAACATTTTGCTTTCTGCTTTAACCTTAGAGTCCCAATGAGGATATTTAAACAGTCCCTATAGGTAAAGGCTCTTCTCTATCCTCAAAAATGACCTAATACTCTTGAAAAACAAAAGGAAAAGAACAAACAACAACAAAAACCGCAGCAGACTCAGACCTCATCAAAAGACCTGGAAACTTTACAGTCTAAACTTCCTCATTTTCTTCTTCAAAGAAAAATCTGCATCAATGCAGCAGCAAATTCTAGATGAAAGCGTGATGGCCCAGAACCACTAGCAAAATTCAATAATCAAGCAATGCTATGTTTTTCTAATAGCCTATTTCCTCTTTGGAATTTCCGTTCATTGCAAACTACATCAGGGAATGGTATAAAATGGAAGACATTTTTCTGTAACAAAATGTGGAACGATGCTGATGTTTCATTTGAAATTTCCATTCCAGAGGAAGATGAGAATGGAAACTTTTCATTTAAATCAAAACTTTCTGTGCAAATACAAAATGTTTACATCGTTCCAATATTAAATATTTTGGTTAGTTCTATTCCCAATCCAATATGAATTCCAGTGTCCACAAATCAGCGTTTGAGACCCCCTGAAACCTGGATCTGAACTCCTCCAGTGCCCAGAGGGCCCTGCGGCATTTCAACCCTTTCTCTGAAGATTGAAGTGCATCCATCACAGAAAAAGAAAAAACATGCCCCTCCACATGTGGTCCCATGTACCCCTGGCACTAAGTGACCTGTGGTGTCTTCAGACAAGTTTTTGGGAAGGTCAGTGTCTTCCTCTCTGAGCCTTCCTCTGATTCACCCTGCTGGCCTAAATTTAGTGAAACCTAATTGAAAAGTTGATCTGATCTATTTACACTGAAATTCCTCCTCTAAAGACCTTTCGGGAAATCTCTCTCTGTTTTTCCTTCAGGCTCTCAGCCAGGCTCAGACATTGCTGTGACCCAGCTCCCAAGGCTGCTCCCAAGACATGCAGGGTTGGGGACAGTGGGCTTTTGAAGGATGGAGATGGCCAAACCGTTACCGCATCCACTTCTCCCTGCCCCATGCCTTTTATTACCCAAAGTCCACTGAAAAACCTCCTGCTTTGCTGAACGCACATTGGGAGCTCTGCTTGTCACAGCTGCAGCAGCTCACCAGTTTATTACACCCTTCTGCCTTTTGCTGTTGATTCCTCCATGCTCAATCACCCTCTCAGAAACCTGGCCAGCCTCCTCCTTTGTACTCCTGCCTCGGCAGATGAGCAGAAGGTACCTGGGTGACAGGCGTGAGCCCACGCGCTGTTGCTCTTCTGAGCCTTCCAGGAATGGCAAGTGCCGTGAAGGATCCTGAGAAACTCTTCTCAGTGGGATGTGGGGAAAGGGCAAATGCTTTCAGTGAGACCCACGGCATTAGTCAACTAACAAGCTTTTCATAACCTAAGTGTATGAAAATCTCCATGCATGGGAAGGGGACATGATAACACGCTCCCCTTCCTCTCCTGAGAGCCTCATATGCTTCCTCCCATATTGCACTGATCAATAGAAAATCTCCGACAAATATAATCAAACAGCTGAACAACATCCCAAGTTAAACCACTCTTCTACAGCATCTCTGCTTCCTAGGAAAGACTACAAGCCCAGCTTCCAAAATATTTCACCACCTCTCACTGAAAAAAACTACCTAAAATAATCTACAACCTGTTTTATTTCCTCTCCTCTGCACTCATCAGAACACAAAAATCAGTCTCTGGCCTGTAGCTCACTCCCTAGTGGTTCCCAAAGCCATTCCAGTGCTGCAAGCAATACGGTGAACCACCCAGGCAAAGCCAAGATTTTATTAGGGTTTAGGCAACAAGCAGGTGGCCAAAGCCTCCCTCCCGCCAATCCCCTGCTTAATCTGCTTCCACGAGGTCAGCGATGGAAGCGATCAGACGGCGATGGCCAGGATGCACCGCGCCCCCGACTGCTCAGGCCATCTCTCTGCTTATGAGTGCTGGAATGGGATTTTCAGGTGCTGTTTAGCCACACACGCACATGAACTTTTCTCGGGTTCAGTCTAGCTCATACATGAGATCACTGGAAGAAATCAAGAACTAGTTCCAGGAAAAAATCCCAACATTATCCGCCCCTCAACTCTCCCGCAGCGCAGGGATGCGGATGCAGCCCTGCGCCTGCTGTTCACTGCTGGCTGAGCCAGCTGAGGGGAAGCGCCAAGCACAGAGCCCCAGACAGCATTTAGGCTGGATGAATGCTTGTCCAGCTAGTTAGAGCTGCATTTCAACTCCGAAATTAAGTGCACTTCTGAAAATTTGAGTGCTCCTCTGAGATTACACGGCTGTGCAGGCAGGTCCTGTTGTGCCTGCTCTGGAGCAGGCAGCAGCCGGTGTCACTTCCCTGCCTGTTCTGCCCTGCTGCTCTGCATGGTCCAGGTGTGGAGCATCCTGAAACACAAAGCATAGTATAGCCCCTGCCTGAAGGAGCTTGTTTGTTCTCTGCAGCTTTCCTGTTGAATCATGGACTAAAAAAACAAGGTGGTGAGCCACAGCAGATGAGAAAAGAAATAAACTGTGTAACTGAGATGTTCAGCTGAGATTTTTTTGTGTGTGCTGATAAATTCTGCTTGTGTAAGGAGAACCCCCTTGACAACTTTACTGTACTGTTATCGTTAAAATTAACTGTAGTATAAAACTCTGAAGAAGATTCAATAAAACTCTTTTTCCTCGAGGAAGCCTGATTAAAAATGCAATGTGCTCCCAGAGTCTATGTTAACTACAGAAGATTTTTTTTTTTTTTTTTTATCTTGCAAAGTCCAGCTATTTGATTTTTCTATTTGGCAAACATTTTCTCTTCTGTGCTCAAAGCATACTCTAGGAAGTTATCCCATTTTAATTAAAAAGACCCTAGCCATCAGTTGAAGTGCTCAAATCCTTTTCTTAATCTGATTTATTACAACAACCCAGGGGAAGACTGGGCAGTACTTAAACTCTGGGCTGGAGGGTGATGCTGGGACTGTTGCAATAAGACACTAGCAGCTCAGAGCATTCTATCTGCAAAGGCCCCTGACAATTGTTGCCCACAGTCGTTGTGTTTGGAGACAACGGAGAGGAGGTGTAAATCCTAGGACCGCTAGCTAGCTAGCTGTGTCAGGAACAGGCACATTTTGAGCAGATACAAGTCTGGAGGCTGGTGAGTCTATGAAGAATGAGCTGTCCCTTGCCTGCAGCAGATCACAGCATGAAACCCTGGGGGATCGTGTTGGCGCTGCTTGTTTAACGCCCCCCCAGAAGGCAAGCTTGGCCCAGGACAGCGTCTAATGAGCTGATGATTTGGTGTGAGACCCTCTGGCTCAGAGCTGAACACAGGCACTGTCAGTGGAAGGGGCTATATAAACGATCCAGACAGGTTGTCATTATTAAATATTCCATGAATTACCGCATGATCCTGCAGTCATTTCCATGCGAAGCAACAGCAGGAGCCAAGAACTCAATTCCAGCATGGTCCATGCATAAATTCCTCCCTTTCACTTCCCCAGAGCACCCAGTTCAGCTTTGTGTTGCAAACAAGTCTGCAGGTATGCTGTGTTTTTATGACTATGCTCCTCTCTTTGGAGCAGTGAAAGACAACAACCACATAAAACATTTCAGGACATTCAGAATGAGACAACAGTGTGAGGTAAAGTAGTCCTGCACATGAGTGCTGTTGGGATAGTCTTGGGTTTTCACACGAGGCTTTTGGTGTCTCACAAACTTCTCTCAAAGTCTTTGATTTTCATGTTGTTGGTCCAAAAGTTCAGGGTTTATAGAGCCACAAATGGTTTGCCCAAGTCACTGCTGGACTTGTGATCCCTGGACCATTTACCTCTTGCTACAAAGGAAGACATCTCACACCAACTACTAGTAAAGGTGAAAGCTTTTCCTGCCTGGCCAGGCATCTCCATGGCTCGGCAGGGTGACCAGCCCCATCCTCATGGGCCCCACTCCAGCACCCGGGGGGAGAGCCAGGGAGGAAGAGTCCAGGCACCTAACGGCCTCGCTGCTACTCTCCTCCCCTCTGCAGTCAGCATTACTGTGGACATGAAGGAAACAAAAAAGCAAAGACTGCAAACAAGGGGGCAGGCTATTTTTGATGCAGGTTTTCTCATTGCAACAGGGGAGATGACCAAAAGCAGCCTGAATGGTTTGCAATCATCAGAAACGCTGGCACTGGAAATAACACGGTTTTACGCTGCCAATTTGAGTGACTTCATACAAGATTATGATCGCTTCAGACTTTCTCTTCCCCCTCTCCCTGACAAGCTATAATTCATGCCAGAAACAATATCATCCAAGCCATTCTTAAAGCCTTTTCCATACCATCTAGTCCTCATCCACCCCAGGTCCTTGAGATTTCTCTCCTGAATGAAGGCTCTAAATCTTTGTACAGGATGGCAGGAGATCTTTGAGCATCTGAGCTATTATGTAAATGAAGCATCAATGGTACTTTTAACTGCAAGTTGATTAGGATTGCAAATGAAACACCAGTGATTTACAGGTCTGAGTGCCTCCTACAAACAGGAATTAATGCTATTTGCTGACCTTGAGCCCAAAGCAGGATCCCTGAACTGTCCTGAAGGCTGAGATGGCACAGGTCTGGGCTGGAGCTGAGAAGATGCATTTCATCCCACCTGTGCTGCCCATTTACTGTTTCTCAGAATATGAAGAAAATCAACATGGGCCAGATTCCAACAATTCTGAGTATTACTGGATAGCCCTGTTCCACATACAGCCCGTTTCTTAGCAGAAGAGCTAATTTAAATACTACCAAGTCCAAAGATGAAACTGGTCCCTCGTGACTCTGCAGCGCCATAAGGACCAGGACACAGCAGACAGTGCTCATGCTGGGCTGGAGGGATCCAGAAAAGATGTGCTCACCTGACACGAAGGCCACTTTCTCCTTCAGTATAGGAAGGACATCAGCAGCTTTTAAACCATCATTTCGAAAAGAACCTGCAAAATAGAGGAAGACAGGAAAGCCACATTAGCAGAGAGCATGTCCTTGCTTCCAGCTTCACAGACACTCCATGTTTCTCTAAATCAGACTGGAGAAAGTCTATAAATTACATAAAAGCACCAAGAAACAGACCCTAATGGCTGATACCCAAGCAACAACAGCATCAATAGAGATATATTTGTAAAAAGAAAACACAGAGAATCAGCTCATCACTTTATGCTTCAGAAGTTCTGAAAGGGTAACAAATTTCCCACCAAGTAACCAGATTTATCCCCACTGCCTTTTTCACAGACCATACTGTCAAGCCTGGGAGATGCCCAGCTTGCACACCGAGCCAGGAGCCTTCTCCTTTCACTGTTTTGAGCATAGTCCAGGCAAAATTGCAAGGAACATTACAGCACATACACATCCATTTAGCATCAGTCCTGGAGACAGATTTGCACAGGGGCTGGCTTAAAAAAGGCTCTTCCCCTTCACCACTTTCTGCTCTGCACAGCACAGCTGGAGATGGAATGGGTCAAGGTGGGGACCGCACTCAGAGAGAGGACATGCTCCTTACAAGCCAGCCAAAGTTTTTCGTGGGGAAGGAGTAGTTTGAAGCCACAGTGCATCCTCATGTAATTCATACTGTTTGATTACATGTTAAATATACCTGCACAGACCATTTGCCTTCCCCGCAGTGCCAAACTATTTCACATCTCCTGAAAGTTCACCAAAGAAATCCCAGATTTTTACTCTCCTGGAAGCCTTAGGAAAAGAACTGACAATGGTTTCAGCCACCAGCAGCATGTTTCTGCTTTGAAAAAGACCAGCAGTAACAGATCACCCCACAGCAAGCCAGACACTGCTATTCCATCAGGACTATTACAAAACAAAAGGTGGGTTTGAAGGACATCTTTGCAGTTGCTCTGAAAAATAACTCATCCATCACTGGGTAGTGAATACCCATCACGACAAGTGATCTTCAGTATGGCCTTAAAGCTATTCCAGTTCATCAAAGAGTACAACACGTTTGAAACCCTGTATTTTTACTTTCTTCCTTTCACAGGTAGGCAGCAACCACCACTCTTCTGACATGGTACCAGGGCAAGAGAGTCTTCTCACAAGGCAGGTTTCTTGACTGGCAACATTGTTCCAGCCGCCACACCTTCCTTATTGAGCAAAGCAGATGACACCTGACCATCTGAGTCTGAAAGCGGGAATGGGGATAAAAGCCACCCCTATATATTGTCATTTATTTCTTGTATCATGCAGCCTGCAAAGGTACAGTGGTTCAAACCATGCAGACGTATGGAACAGACAGGATGAAGACGATAACATCCATTTTCACCTGCAGCTGAACCTGCGTACCTACAAGTATTGTTATTACTATGGTTGAGTTACTGTTAATGGCAAATGAGGTAGCATTTGCCATTCACAGTCAGCTTGTGCAACAAGACTGTCTTTTACATGCAAATACATCCCTCACCGGTGACCGGTGGCTACAACTACCTCTCTATGTCCCCACATGCTCTCAGGTGTCACCTCTGCAACACTCAGCTCCAGAAGACGAGCAAGCTCACCAGCTGAGCCTACGCTTGTGAAAATCAGCACACAAAGGAGTGATGTAATTCAATGCAAGGCCAAGACCAATGTAACTGCAATTTGAACAGGCACTGGAGCACGGTCCTGAGAGGTCCCTAAAGAGTGCTTTGTGTCAGTAAAGTGTTGTGGGACCAGGGAAACTAGTCCTGGTTGCTGAACTCTATCTGTGTTCAAGTAAGCAGAGCTTTGTTCACTCTGTGATAAATGTAGGAGACTTTGATAATAACTTACCCTCTTAACAACAATAACCTCTCAGATCCCAGGCTGTGGCTAGCTCACATCAAAGGTAGGAACCATTCAGCCACAGGCAATATTTGGAATTTAAGCAGCTTTGTATATAAGCATCTCATCCAACCGTGAAGCAAACAACAACAGCCAACATGCTAGACACTTCATGATGGCTCGAAGACACTGAAGCGGAGTACTGGGCCAAATTTCTCCAGCTGCAAGATCAGCACAGTCCATGCAAGTTGAGTTTTGGCCAATATTTGTTAAATTTGTCAGGGAAACAGCAAAGTCAGTACTCAGGCACTTAACTGTGCAGCAGACATTATACAACTGAAGTCTTAGTGAACATTACCAAAAAAATGTCAGTGGGTGCAGTATTCGTGTATGTAAAACACACAATAATGACTTCTTAGCAAGATCCCACTGTACTGAGGGCTGAAGGACAATTTCAAACACTCTCCCACAAGGAAGGGCTGCATCTCACAGAGGTAATATGCACAGAGACTGGGAGAAAAATGTATGACTTTTAAAGATGGTTACCTCCTGAGCTGCAGCAGGGCAGGCTGCAGGCAAGGGGTTCACTGCTAACAGCCCCGATGTCCTGACTGTGCACAGGAGAGGCAATAAAAGACACAAATGAGGACAGTGCTGCCAGCAGGTGTTTTCACCTTTCTCAGTATTCCCCAGGACAGGTCAGTCATGCTCCAAAAAGATGAATGAATTAGAAAACTCTGAGCCCATCCTACAGCCAGGGAATTGACAAAAACTCCCAAGAGCTGCAAAACTTCCCTTGGGATGAGGGAGGAAACATCTCAAGGGAGATCAATGCCTAAAGCAATGCCCTCACTCTGGGTAATGTACGTGCTCGCCCAAGCAGCAGTTCGTGACCCACAGATGAGGCCATGGCCACTGCTTTCAGAGGTCACTCCAGCTCCTGACAAAATCCTCGCGTTAGCAGCTACGTCTCAGAGCGTGCTGCCAGGTTTTCCACAAGGGCTAGGGGAAAGGATGCATAAATAGGAAACCCAATGGCTGTAATAAGGGCTCCAAAAGCAACAGCAAATCTGTCTCCAGGAGGGCCCAGCGCAGCAATGATGCATTCCCCAGTTCATAAGTTATTATAAGCATACCCCTAATAATGCTCATTTTCATCCTATTCCCCAGCTGTTTCTAATACATTTGTTTTGTTTGTTTGCGTGCTGGATCTGAAGCCATGTCTGCATAGCACCATCTAATTTTTGCCACAGAGCCCCGGGTATACAACCATCTAGCCAGTTCATTACTAGACGATGACAAAGGCTGTACTTTGTATCCTGCCCTACACCTCTCTCCTACCCCTGCAAGACCAGAGCCCTTCTGTGGCAGAAGGACGAAGAAGGACAGATGGATGAAAGAAGGGCAGGCTGAACAGTGAGCCATCCTGCCCATTGTCCATGCACTGGTTTGCTGGTTCACCATCACCATAAGCATGGGACTACACAACAGTGTCCCTCTTGCCCTTCTACCTACAAGTCTCACCATAGTCTGCAAAGAAGCTTAAGCATTGCAATCACCTCTTTACCAAAAGAGAGGCACAGAAAGCATGGTGCCATGTCCCAGTCACCCTGCAGCCCCTCACACCTTTATCACATCCTGGCTATCCACGTAGCAGGGACACTATGACTATCCACAAAATTTTATTACCCCAGTGACATGAGAAGAAAACACACCGTGCCTGCAGGAGCAGCTGACAGAATAAACTATTCTTGTAAACTTGGAAGCACTGAAAAATTAAAAAAAGTGGATCCTCAGCATGGCTGAGTCACGTTTCAGGGCAGAACAGCATCGCACATGCACAGCCCGTCTCCTAGCAGGGATTCCCTGCACAGCAGAAGCAGCTCACAGTTTTAGGTGAGATGCTGTAATGAGAAGCCAGCTGGGCGAGATGGGAAGCTTAAGGCATGCTTCCACATTAAATGCAGCAAACCTGAAATTGAGAAAAGAAAATTCCTTTCTACCCGCACAAATGCCCCAGTTGGCCTGGGGATCTCGCTGCCGCAGGGTGTGGAGGTCAGCACCTCAAGGGGCTTCCCAAACAGGTTAGAGATCTGCAAACAACAAACATCTCCAGGGAACTGTAAAGATCAGTAAAATAAGCAAGAGTTTTGGAAAGAATATAAGCCTACAGACTTTGGAGTGAAAGCCAAACTCTGACTCTTGGAGTGAAATATAAATTATCCCTGGAGAGAGTCCTGCAGGCTTTAGGATTTCTTTTGCTAAGCAGAGTGCAGGGCCTCTGTTGGAGACACCGTCTTGGGCTAGCTGGACCAATGGTCTGCTTCAGAATGGCTTTTCCTAGAAAAGCTTCAGTTCTAATCTGAAAAATGCAGCTCTTGGCTTCAAATAAAGATCAGCTGCTGCAAATATGGAAATACTTTCTATACTTAAAAAAAGTATGCGTAGGCAAGAAGGCGGCCTCCTGTCAGAGCACTGCATGGGGCTTAATCACTTGGCTCCTGATGCCTTCAGCGGGAGTTGTTCATCCCAAGTCCCATGCAATGTTTCAGGAAAGGCAGCCCACATTCTCCTAGTTCTCAGAACAGATTTGACTATTTAAAAACTTTGGCATGAAGTTTCTTTAACCAAACAAAACTGAACTCCTTGGGCTAAACCCATTCCTTGAGGAACTCTACTGGAGTCCAGGAGGCAACAGTAGGATTAATCTGGTCCACATTGTTTCTTTCCTCTTCCCTCAGTAGCGGCCTCCCCTGTATTTCTTTCCTCCCCGACCCCTGGTTTTTGGAGCAGTTGTCTCCTAGCTTTATCATAGCCTACTTACCTTCCTACCTCTTCCCCCCCCCCCGCTCAAAGTCTCACTGGATTTTCTTTTTGTTTGCAGTACAGTAGCATCTTCGCTTTCTACAACATACAAACAGAAGAGACGTCTGATATGAGCACAGAGAGGCAGAACAAAGGAGACTTTATTATTCCCAATGCAGCCTTTGCAAACTGAGACACAGAGAGATTGACTTGTCCAGCGTCAGACAGAAAGTTTGCGGTGAGCTGAACCCTCATTTCCCCAATGCTTCCCCAATGCCTTTCTCATACAACCATCCCTTTGTTTTCTGGCAGAATATAATCCTCCTTTTTCTTCTCTTTACACTTCTTGCTTCCTCCTCCTGCCCTTCTCTCTCCATTGTTCTTTCTTTCTACATTTCGGCCTCAAATATTTACTTTGTGTGTGTGCTAAACCCTATTTAACCCCTTCCTCCCTTTCCTGTGCACTATTTTCTGTCCCTGCAGGACCGTGAGCCTTCCTAGTTTGGTTTCTCTGATTTTCTATAAGCCATGGAGAGGGGCTTAGCTGAGGGCTGCCGGGGCCTTTGCCGCTGGGATTTTGCTCGCTGAGGCTCATTGGTTCAGGGGCAGAGAGGCCACAGTGTGGCACAACCATTTGGTTGAATAGAAGCAACATGTGCTCCTGACTAGCATTTTAGCACCATCTGGCAGAGATAAATGGGGCTGGACACTCTGCATCTGCCGATCGCTCTTCTGTGGACAACAGCCTGATCCCTGATGCAAAGAAAGAGTATTTTAGTGCCCTGAGCCCCCCAGGAGCCTGCGAGGCTCTCTTGCCACACTTCCCCACTGCAGACAGCAGAAGGGCAGGTTTTGACCTCACAGAGGAAGGGAGGAAGGGAGGACCGACTGAATTGAATTGAAGCTAAAGGCAGCACCAGCCAGAAGAAATACAAAATTAATCTGTAAATATCATTACCAACTATTATTGAAGATTAACCCAGAGCTATATATTTCACTAACAAAGGTTATTATTCTCCTTAATAGCCAATAAAAAGTAATACCTGGTCTCACAGGAAGCATTTATAGTCCTAGGACTGCAGGTCAGAGTGTGGCAGGGACAGCGTGAAAGGCAGGTTGGACTAGCACCATAGCCCTGGGGCAAGGATGGTGACTGTCCCCCTCCATCCTCGGTTTGCTTTCTCAAGCAAGAACTTCTCACCTGGTGCTCCTGACATGTTCACCCTTCCTAAACGAATGAGCACAGCAAACAGACTGTCTGCATTCAACATACCTTGAGCAGTAAGCATGGCCACAGCATGCAACACTCATTTGGAGAGACCAGCAAAAGCTAACATG